TTTATGCCAAAACTCGTCACCAAACCAAAATTTCTGCTTTACACCGCTCCCCGGCAAACAGTCTGCTGTGCCAGACTAATTTCATAGCTGTCATTTATATACGTCAGCTGTTGGAGAGGAGGCCCGGAAAACTTTGCTGTCTGGAACGAGTAAAACTTTCGCAAGTCTCTGATGGAAGTTGCTGAGTTGTGGTGACTGTAAGAAATTGACTTTCCTGGCAATTGTTTTTGTACTTCTTTTGTTCGTTAGGTTCGCTTTGTGTCAAGTTGGTAATTAAGCAACCGAGGCGCTACACCGATATCATGCGAATACTAATTTCGAAGAATTCGGCGAGTATGGTAGATAGATAGACGCGAGTAAGAAAACGCAACGGATGACAATTTTCCGGAAATATTTATGTAAAGCTTAAAGCCATATTTAACAGAATCCGTTACTGGGCTGTTTAAATAGATAAGTCATCCACAGGTATGGTTTTAAAATTGAATTTCGACGAACTGCCGTCTCCTGCACTCCTGCTTTGAAAGTATTCGACACACTATCCGCCGAAGAAAACAAAGCAAAAGGAAACCCTTCACTCCTTTAGAAACAAAAGGTGGAGAAGGACCGAGCTACACGCCAGTTGGCCCTAAACAGAGAAAAGGAAGAACGAGTGGCGCACTGACTCGCCCATAACCGCGTAAGTATTATTTACGCCATTAAAGAAGAAGATCTATGATGGCGCTAAAAGTGGTCCTCCTTTGCTACAGGAATGAAACCAAAACAAATTTTTTTTTAAGTACTGGAAGATGCAAATACCTACAACAGAAAAAACCAAGAAATTCGCAGAAAGGTCGTGTTTAAAAAATACGTTGACTTTTAAGTAAATTTTGTTCGATTTTGGTCCGCAAGAATGCAATTTTAGATTAGAAAACTGGTTGGTTATTTTATGAAGAATTGCGTATAGTAGGGTGGGTTAAAAATATTATATTTATATGATTGGTACTTTGAAAAACAGCTCCTCAGATATCTTTAAGAAAGTCGCTACAAGTATGTAACGGTAAGATTCTACGCAAATAGAAAAATAATAAAAATACTATCTAATTGCTTTGGAATCCAAATTACTACAATATTCTTCAGTAAAAATTCTCGAAAACTGTTATCCTTATAGTATACGAAGTTACTATAATATAAATTTTCAAACTGTTCTAGGCTTCCTAGATCACTCACTTTACCTACTCCCACTCCCACTCTATATTTCTCTCTCGGATGACCCGAAAACATAGAAAGAGAGAGCGATGAGAGAAACTATTTTGGGTTTGTGAACTGGAAATCTCTTGTAGCATTCAGAATTTTTTAAATCAGAAAATAATACAAAAAAAAAAAATTTTTTTGGAAAGAATTGCCATTTATAAAAAATCGATGGTATTTACAAAACAAAAAAAAAAAAAAAAAAACAAGAATGTATACCCCTAAACAGTTGGAGTTGGAAAGCAT